CCAACCATTGGCAGGCTCATGAAAGCAGGTCTCGGTGACAAGGCACGAGGGAATAGGACCAGTGGGAACTGCCATAGGTTGTTGAAGATGGAGTGATGGATGTGAATGCATATGATGCTGCTGGAGGGGAAAATGAATATCAGGAAGCAGTCAGAGAAAAAAGACAGACCACAGATCATGTGAAATGGGCAACTCAAGTTCGCTTTCTCTATTTCAGCGGTTCTCAGCCTGTGGGTCACGACCCCTTTGGCGGTCAAACGACCCTTTCACAGGGGTCGCCTAAGATCATCCTGCATATCAGATATTTACATTACGATTCGTAACAGTAGCAACATTACAGTTATGAAGTAGCAACGAAAATAATTTTATGGTTGGGTCACAACATTGAGGAACTGTATTTAAAGTAAAAGGAAAGGGTTCTGCTCATTCTCTTGCTGGAACTAAAATCTTCTCCAGAGCATCCAATAGACTGCCTTATCTCTGACTGCCTAGGGATGGGTCCCAGGGCCACCTCTAGACCAACCATTGGCAGGCTCATGAAAGCAGGTCTCGGTGACAAGGCACGAGGGAATAGGACCAGTGGGAACTGCCATAGGTTGTTGAAGATGGAGTGATGGATGTGAATGCATATGATGCTGCTGGAGGGGAAAATGAATATCAGGAAGCAGTCAGAGAAAAAAGACAGACCACAGATCATGTGAAATGGGCAACTCAAGTTCGCTTTCTCTATTTCAGCGGTTCTCAGCCTGTGGGTCACGACCCCTTTGGCGGTCAAACGACCCTTTCACAGGGGTCGCCTAAGATCATCCTGCATATCAGATATTTACATTACGATTCGTAACAGTAGCAACATTACAGTTATGAAGTAGCAACGAAAATAATTTTATGGTTGGGTCACAACATTGAGGAACTGTATTTAAAGGGCCAGAAGGTTGAGAACCACTGCTCTACATGATGGTGTCGATGTTGCCCTCTGCGTGAGGTAGTGCCTCTCCTGGATCGGCCCGACCTGATGAGGAACATGCCTCTCACCTGGGGGAGTGTAACCTCTTACCATTGCCCTGTCAGCAGCTTTCCAGGTTTCCCATTAGCAGGTCCAGGCCCCCTGGAATGAGTTTGTTTTCCAGGTGAGCAGTTTGGGGCCTGTGCTCTTCCCTACCTGCTTC